TGATTGGAGCTTTCTGATCAGCTCAGCCAATGAGACTCGATCCTTTGGTTTCCACTGACAGCAGGATTTGATAATAGAATATCTAGAGAAGAAATATTATGTAAGTGCATGTTATATAGTGGCTATCGAAACGGAATAGATTCTTTGTTGTATATGTATGTTTTTAGTCTTATTATGGTATAGGCCATCTTGACAAACTTTAAACTGACATTAGAATTCCCTGAGTGGCACTTCAAATTTGATGTTATTTTGTTTACATAATTGTGTTTCTTAATAGCTTTTGTTATCAGTTATGTACATTAGGGTGTTATGTTACATCTTATGCTGTTAGAATAAATGTTTAGCTATTTAATTATTTTATTGGCACATGCAACAATGATTTGTGTGTATGACATAGTGCACCAGGATTATTATAGTTAACTGCAACAAAATTAATTTAAAGTGCATGTTTTTTAGATAAACATGTTAAACAAAGAGACGTACAGTGTATTAGAGCAGTTGGGTGGTCTCTTTAGTGTATTCACTCTCTGTAAATGCTGCAGAAGTTCGCTGGCCATGATGTTGGGAAAGGGCGGCTCTCCTGAGATTAAAAACAATGGGATAAAAAGCTTTAAACAACTTCATAATTTGATTATTTTTTCCATATAAATGGAACCTTGCAGCTGTAGCTGTACTGGAGACTTTTATAATAGTGGAAGACAGAAACACTCACCTAATGTCACCATCTCATACAGCAAAATGCCAAAGGACCATCTATGGAGGATTAAACAGAAACGGACACAATGTCAAGTTCAAAGGTGACAAAAACATTAACTGAAAATACAAATAATTATCACAAACTCACATGTCGCTGCTTTGCTGGAGAGGTTGCTGTGCTAATGCTTCTGGAGCTTGCCATTTTCTCATTTCTATATCTTCTACATCCATAGAGGCTGCACTCGTTTTTCTGCGATATGCCGGACCCAAACCCCACAGCTTGACCGACAGATCCCGACCAACCAAGACGCTTCGAGCCTTGACATGACCATGGATGTAGTTCTTACTATGCAGATACTCCTGTGATTTCAGAACAGGTTGTGTTAGAATGCGAACTTGATCTTGTGACAAAGTATTTATTGTATAATGTAAATCATAAATGCTTTGGTATAAGTGCTCATGACTGGTCATGATTAATGCATGCCAGAGTCAAACAAAGTAAAAGGCTCAGTGATTTATGTAGTTGCCAGTATGTGCATGCCTGATGTGTCTTATAAATCTCTCAATCATTCATAAATATTTGATTATACATTGTTGCCAGGCTTTTTTCTGTCAATGTGATTGTATATACAGTGGGGAAAAAAAGTATTTAGTCAGCCACCAAT